GGGGGGGGGAACTTTCAAAGTGAATACACAATTTAACATCTAAATTGTACATTAATATGTGGGAGTAAGAAGGGTCAAATGTATTAAAAGGAGTTCCTAGTTCACCTTAAATATCGATAAAATTTTATCAGGTAGACGATATCATCAAGGAAATAATAAAAGCCACCAATTAATAGTCTAATCCCTCGGAGACATATATTAGCCACCAGACCCCACTTTGTGGGATTTTACTGGGTCGTTGTTGTTGTAGGCAGTTTGCCTAGTGGTATATTTGCTAAAAAAAAAAATCCCTCGAAGAATAAATGTCAACTTGTCCCATAGTCAGCTTGTGGAAGAAAATTTTCATGTAATACTACTTATAAGCCCATTAAATTTGCATGAACAGTTGAAGTTTAAACTGCTGGATATATAGGGATTATAAGGATCGACTACCAATACGAGAAATATTTTGAGCAGGTTATCTATGCTATTGACAACAAGGAAAAGTCAAGAGTTGTCGCGGAGAAAATATAGATACATACCAGGGGCTATGTAGCCATATGAACCAGCAACTGCAGACATCGACTTAGATTGAGGCATATCCACGACTTTTGCCAAACCAAAATCACCAACATGAGCTTCAAACTTGTCATCAAGCAGAATATTATTGGACTTTATATCACGGTGGATGATCCGTGGCTTGCAATCATGATGTAAGTAAGCAAGTCCTTGAGCAGCACCAACAGCCACCAAAAAGCGAGTCGGCCAGTCCAAGCTACACGATGCACTGTGAAGCAATTCGCCGAGGCTACCTCTGGCCATATACTCATAAAGAAGTAGATTAGAACCCTGATGATTGCAAAAGCCATATAGCTTTACGATGTTACGATGCCTAATCTTTCCTAGTGTTAAGATCTCAGCACGGTAGCTATTGTCAATGTGATTACCCTCTCTGTTAGAAGCAAGCTTCTTCACTGCAATTATTTGTCCGGACTGCATGACAGCCTTGTAAACTGTTCCAACAGCTCCTCTTCCAATAACATAACAATCATGAAAATTGCTTGTAGCCTCAACCAAGTCTTGGAAAGTGAATCCCTCTTTTGGACGGAAATAAATATCCGAATCTGGAGACGATACGTCTTTATCTTGGGTTGCAACCATCTCAACTGGATGCTTCTTCATGTAGTATAATATTAGCACAATCAAGACAAGAGAAACTCCACCAATTACACCAGCAACAACAGTAACAATCTTTCCTCTAGGAGAATCTGCACTTTTGACTCGAGGAGGATTGGCGTCGTATGCTGGAGGTGCATTACATCTGCCTAAGGGCCCCCCACAAAGACCTTTGTTTCCGGTGAAGCTGCTCACATCCATGTTCTGAAAGAGCGGTATATCAGGCAATGGTCCAGTGAGGTTATTGTATGAGAAATCACAGCCCAACAGACTTGTCAGGTTCCCAAATGTGCTCGGTATTTCACCACTCAGATGATTGTTGTTGAGATAGAGGTACTCTAATAGGATAAGATTACCAAGGTTAGGTGGTATACTACCAAAGAGATTGTTGTTGCTAAGATCCATTGCAATCTGTAAGCCACTAATATTACCCAACTCTGATGGTATTTCACCTGACAATAAATTCCCGCCCATTTGCAGCTCAGTCAAATGAGAGAGGCTCCCCAATGCTGCTGGTATCTTTCCAGAAAACTTATTCTCTGAAAGCAAAAGGCGTTCTAGCTGCGACAAGCTACCGATGTCATCAGGTATAACATCTGTAAAGCTATTCTTGCTGAGATCAAGTCGTTGTAGTCCCTTGCAGTTCAGAATGTCTGGAGGTATCGGTCCAGTGAGCAAATTAGCCGAGACATTGAAAGTCACAAGCTTGGTAAGATTTCCTATCTCCCTTGGCAACTCGCTGAAACTATTGCCTGAGAGATCAAGCCTCTGCAACTTCTGGCAATATCCAATATCAGGAGGTATTGGACCAGTGAACTTGTTCTGCCCGAGTTCAACAGCAGAGAGGTTTTCCAATTTGCACAACTCAGAAGGAAATGACCCCCCTAGCCTGTTACCATTAAGACGCAGTTGAACCAATGAAACACAATTAAGAACACCAGACGGAATGCCTCCATGCAATTCATTTGACCCAAGATTCAGCAAAAACAGATTGGAATTCCGACAAACGAATGGAGGAATTCTTCCTGTGAGGTGGTTGTTATTTAAATCAAGCACCCAAAGTTGACTATAAATGCCAAGACCTTGTGGAATAGTACCTGTTAAAGAATTCTCAAAAAGCTGCAACTGAACCAATTCAGTTTGATACTGAAATCCAAATGGAATAGGGCCTGTTAGGTAATTAATTGACAGATCAAGACTAGTCAAGTTCTTTAAACTAGTAAGTTCGTCTGGTATAACGCCTTTGAGCTGGTTCTGGAAAAGATACAACAATCTCAGCTTCTTTATTTGGCCAAACTCAACTGGAATTTCTCCTATTAGAAAGTTTTCGGAGAAATCAATTTCTTCTGCCATATAAAGATTCCCAATCTCCCTTGGAATGGTACCATTTAACCCATTCCGGTATAGGTATAACCTCGTCAAAACTTTGAGTTTACCTATTTCAGGAGGAATATCTCCAATCAGGTTATTCTGATTTAACGCAAGCAATTGAAGTCGTGTACAATTTCCAACTTCTTTTGGAATAAATCCAGAGAATTGATTGCCCCAAAGTACAAGTTCTTTCAACCAACTGAGCTTGCCGAGCTCTTTAGGTAAGTTCCCTCCCAAACTATTCTGTGTTAGGCCAAGAGATTCCAGGCTCTCACAATCACCTATCTCTGTCGGTAAACTTCCAGAAAGTGAATTCTGCCCCACTCGAAATGTTGTCAAACTTTTCAAACTTCCAATAGATCGAGGCACTGGACCAGTAAGATTATTGGTGAATGCAACAAAAGAAACTAGAGACGAGAGTTTCCCAAACTCCTCGGCTATAGGACCAGAGATCATGTTGGTGGACAAATCCAAATACTCTAACTTAGACAAGTTATAAATTTGAGCAGGAATCGGCCCGTAAAAGGAATTATCATGGAGCTTTAGGGATTGCAAGTTTGAGCAATTACCAATATCTTTAGGAATATTCCCAGTGAATCCATTAAAAGACAGGTCAAGATAAGTTAAAGATCCAAGACCACCAATGCTAGAACTCAAAGTGCCTGAAAGATTCATAGAGCTAAGAAAAAGAGATTGCACAACTGGATTATAATCAGAAGTGCAATTCACACCTACCCAACCACATGGAGTTTCATCATTGGAATTCCAATTCCAAAGATGGTTAAACTGATCCCATATATTCTTCTTCAAATCTAACAGATACATTCCTTCCTCATTCAATCCTTCTGCAGGATAAACCAGCAGTACCAAAGCACTTATCCAAATTAGAACCAAACCACTTCTTGATTCAAAAACTCCAGACATCACAACAACTTTCAATAAGTCAAAAGTCTCAGCTTGACCTGTTAATAACAATTCACCTATATGTCAATACTGAGATTAAAAGAAAAGCTAGGAATTTACAAAGAACACTCAGGTTCAATCATCAAGAAGTGTCAAATCATAAATAGATAAAGCAAATGAATGGACAGAATCCTTGCAAATACATATTCATAACAATAACTCAGTTAATACTTTAGACCTAATGTTGCTCGGACTCTCCGAAAATGTCATCGGGTGCGTGTCGGATTCTCCAAAAGCAGTGTATTTTTAGCAAATAATGAATTCAGGAATAAATAAGAAACCCAATAAAGATCTAAGCTTTTGCATACCTTTAGGCTATTGAGTCCATCACCTTGTCAAAAATAGCTGAAATCCACCAAACACCCAAAAAAAGCAAAGACAATCAAAGAACTCTCAAGTGATTCCTTTAGAAGATGAGAGACCAAATACCAAGAAATTCATCAATGATTTATATTTATACTATATCTAAAACCAAGAACCTCCAACCTTTTTCCAAGAATGGTGGGGATCTTCCTATATACATACAAGATTTTGAAAAGGGGTTTGAAAAAAAGTGAAAAAGATTCAACCTTTATTTAAGCACAAGCCAAGAAAAAAAAAAGAACTGGAAAAATTCAAATGCACTGATTCAAGAAACCCCTTTTATTTTATTAATTATCAATAGGAAAGCAGTAGTAGTAGTAGTATTCAAGAAAAATAACATAAAGCCAATTTCTTTTCCAAATGGCAATGATAGTAAAAAGGATCTTTAGGTGAATTGAAGGGACATATATGAGTTCTTCATTGAAGCTTTAATGGCAGACAAAGCATGCTTTCTTCTTCTTTTTTGGTTATATATATGATGATGAGGAGTTGGAAGTTTTGTTCAACACTAATATAGTTTGTTATATTTTCTCTTTCTATAATCTTGATTCTTTTTTAACTCTATCTCAAAAAGTCCTAATCACTTTTGGCTTCTCTATCTAAAAGTTAGCCTCTTTTTGAGTGCTTGAAAAAGTTTTTATAACTGTGAACTTTTTTAGGCATAACAGAGAAAAGATGCAATTAATTTATTTATTGTGGAATTCTTGGACTGGGACAGGTTTTTTGAGGGTTTATTCCTTTTTTAGTATTTTTTGGGTTTTTGGGTTGGTAGGCACTGAAAATTGTAACACTAGAGAAAATGAAGTCAGATTTTTTTGGTTTAAATGAAGTCAGATATGATGTTTGCAATGGTTTCATTTTCTGTTCTTATTTTGGATTTTCTTTGTACACCTATTTTTATCCCTTTTTTTTTGGATGTACTATGCTAGTGTATCCTTCTATTGGCTTCTTTCTTTTGGATATATCTACACAACTTTGATTTTTCTAATATTATTAGTAGTATTTTGGTTCTCTCTCTTATTTGTTTTTGGCAAAGCTTGACAGTTATTTTCTTAATCAACTATTATCTAAAATAAAATTCATAATATGACATAGGAAGCTTAATCAGAAATCTCGAGTTTAACTTTTCAAAATTAAAAATCTATGATAAAAAGCACTTCTCTTTGGGATATCTAAGTTATCTTCTTGTTATTTATAAATTTGTATCGTTTAAATTATAAATCTCTTTTTATTACTTTTAAATTAAATTAGTTATCCGTTTGATAGATTTAAAACCTTTCACAGTAGATTTACAATTACTTCAATAAGTAATTATTTCGAATTTTAATATTGTTCTGCATATGAAAGAAAAACAAACTAAGCTTTCTATGAAGCCTCTCAAGAATTTTTGTTTTGTATCAAGATTGATTTCACTTCATCCTTCTTTCTTTGCTTAGTCACAATTAAACATTTTTTTTCTCTTTTTCTTTCATTTTGTCCCTAGTACCATATTTCAGCATTTCCAAATTCAATTTTGTATGCAAGAACAAATATATATTCTTTCATATGTATCATTCTGTTTTATGTGATACTTTTTTTTAATTAATTATTTACTTTTAATATGCAATTTTTTAACCTACAAAAATATCATGACATATTTAAATTTTAAATTTTAAAATTTATTTTTTAACACTATATCATCCAAAACAGTTTCTATATCTTCGCAAGATTAGAGTAATGTTGTTTACACACTACTCTTCCAAACCCCCCACATATAAAATTACACTTGATCTGTTATTGTATTTTTTTAAACTCTATAATTTATACCTATTCAAATAACCTTCACATCAAATAATATTATACATATTCATGTGGGTCCCCAATTTTTTTGGTAACCAAATATAGAATAGGGCCCACAAAACTCAAAAAGGTGTGGACCAATGGACCATTGAGGTAGAAGGTGTCTAAATCAATGATTCACAATCTGTGGGTGTTAGTCTTAGCACTAATTATTTGATCTTTGAAAAGATTGGTAGAACCACCATTTTTGGTGGACCAATCAAATGAATTATAATAATACTTGGAAAAAGGATAACAAAAGAAACTTTTCTTTCTGTCCTTCATTAGAGAAAACTATTGTCCACTTTGTGAAATTTTTAAAAGTTATTCTTGGTTCAATCCAATTTTTTAAAAATATTTTGTGAGAAAGTTTGTATATCTTGTACTTTAGATTTTGATTTCCGGAAATAGTCTCTCTAACTCCACGAGATAGGGTTAAGGTTTGCGTACACACTATACTTCCCAGATCTTATACTGTGATGAAAATACACTGGTATGTTATTGTTGTTATTGTACTTTAAATTTTGATTAAAGTAATTATAAAAGGAGAATGAAAAACCCTTTTATTCCATTTGTATAACCTAGGTTACATAGCATAAAACTACTAGTATTATATTTAAGAAACTTAACAGTTTTGAAGTAATTATTAAAGAATAAAGATGTAAGATAAGTATCCTTTCTTAGATGATGAATATATTAGTAGTTATATAATTAAAATTTGATTTGAACATCAATCGCATGCTTTAAGGAAAATAAAATTTATTTTTTTGAATAAAAAATTAAAAATTTCAAAATTAGGAAACAAATTATTCCTTAAAAGTAGTAATATTGCAAGAAATATTTCAGTGCGAACAAAGAGTCTACTCTCATGATACTATTAAGTATATTGTTTACAAAATAAACTTTAACTTTTGTGTTATATACGAGAAATGATAATACAATAACTTTTATTGTGAGACGAATGAAACTAGTAATATTTTATATGTACCACCAAAAGTTACTATGAAGTAGTAAGCAGCTTCCCATCCTTAATTACAATATGAATTTGAAATATAAAAATAAAATTGTTTTTGGTAGAAAATATTATACTTTAAATTAGAATTTGTTGGTGCGAATTTGAATAGATGGAACAACAAAGTAAATATCACTCATCAAGTGAGATTTAAAAAACAATTAGCATGTGGGAAACTAAAGAGTAGCTATCTTGGTGTGGAAAAATAAAAAAAACAAAAAGAATATTTTGGGGAAATAGGATTGAGCTGTCATTTCATGACTAGACTTTCATTTTCTAAGTGAAGAAGACGTCGGCCAACCGCTTTTAGTGCTTCTATCTCTCTTCCCTATGTTGATTTTTCTCTTCTTGGATTTGGCATACACACACTAATTAAAAAAATACACTTGCATAGCCTTTTTTATGGTAAAATAAATAACCGAGTATTTGATGACTTGTATTCCATCTATTTAAGAACAAACATTGGTAAAGTTTGATGAGAACAAATGAGCATGATTGGTAAATCATGGGTAAGTGGGGTAAAATGGTTAAAAGAAAATAATTATTCACCAATATTATTCACTAAAAATGGATTGGACAGTGTTTTTTTTTTTTAAAACGGGTCAAATATGGATAATAATCATATTATCTACTTAGAAAATGAATAACTAATGCGTTTAACTTTTATATTTGTAACGCCTCAAATTGGTGGTTCTTCAAGTTTGCTAGATTATGAATTCTCCCAAAGCTATCATATTTAAGAAGTCATGGGTACTATGGATATTCATATTATCTGCCGATTAATCCGTTTTTTATCCGTATTAAATATGGGTCGGATCGAATAATTTATTCATTTTTGCAGTACTCGTTTTCGACCAATCCATATCCGACCCGACCCCTCTATTTGCCACCCTTAATTATAGGTATTGTGTTCGAACTTTAGGAATAAAGAACATTTTGGTAAAAAAATGTTCCGAGTCTATGAGTACGCTTTACTTGACCGAGTTACATAGGAAGATAGATTAGCTCTCGTGAGATTTACTAATAAAAATAGGTAAAATTCAAATCAACCAGTATTTATACTGATGAAAGATAGTACGTAGCATATGAAATTAGTTGAGGTGAAACTTATCCGGTGAATTTAATCAAACTATATCTTAAATAACTTAGAGCTCGTTTGGATGAGTTTATTTTAAGTGATTTTTAAGCATAAGTTATATGTTAGAAATTCTAACTTTTGGCTTTTGGCTTCTTTTTTTTTTTTTTTTTTTTTTTTTTTTTTTTTTTTTTTTTTGTCATTTTAGCTTACAACTAGAAAAGTGCTTAAAAGCCAATAAACACTTAAAATAAGTCAATTTAAACACCCTAAAAAATAAGTGCTTAAAAGCAAATTTTTTATTTTATTCAAACACTATAAAATCACTTAAAAACACTTAAAATAATCCAATGCAAACGAGCTCTTAATAAAGTGAGCATACATACTAATTAATCTTAAGTAAAGAGAAGTGTATATAAAAAACATAGTACCAAACACTATCTGTTTGGTATATATATCGGATGTGGATGGGTCTTTGCCTACTATATTTAACCATGTTTTAAAAGATTTTTACAGCTAAAAAGTAGCAGTCAACAACTATTTTTCCACAAATTATGTGATAGATAAGCATAAAATAAACAATAGATCGTAACCGTTAGCCAATGTGCGCCTAAAATAAAGGAGGAACGTAACCTTCGCATAATAAAAAGTATGGCATAAATCGTCCAATATTTGAGAATCATAGGTTAAATGGGCTGCTCATCAACTTCTTAGCTTGACCACTATATTTGGCAATAGTTTTCCTCGATCCATAACGACGCACTTTACAACTTAAAGTATGTCAAACATAACAACAACAACAATAATATATCTAGTGTGAATTCACAAGTTGGATTTGGGGATGATAGAGCAAACGCAGACCGTACCTCTACCTCGTATAAAGTAAAGATGTTGTTTTCAATAGACCATTAGTTTAAAAAAAATATTTTCAAAATAGGTTTGGGAAATAAAAGAATTAAGACACTATGATGAAAATAATAAGGAAAAGAAAGTATTGATAGCAAAAATAGTAAGATGACCAAAGGAAAGAAACAATTGTAGTAATAAAGTTGAAGAACAAGATAATATTAGAAATATAGTAACAATGATGGAGCAGATAAGGTGTTCTAAATTAGAATACGGGATCTCCCACAGAAAAGAGAGAAAATACTCGGTTACCTGATAATTTTTTACCTTAATCCTCGACCTCTATGTTTTCCTACTTAGGACATCAATGAGCTGAAGATATATCATATCCTGATAAGATGGAATTTAATTATTTATAGCGTGAAACAACTTTATGCTATCAAATTACTCAAAAGTCCATGAAGCATGGATCAGTATTCAGAAAAAGAAATTATATACACACAGTACAACTAATTAAGTTACGATGATATGATCGGAGTATATTACGTAATCTTGTAAATTCTTATACATATTCTTCAATATATGTACGCATTAATTTTACAATAAATATTAGATTTAAATTTATAATTTTAAAATTATAAATATTTTCATACTAAAAACCGTAAAAATAAAAGATACCAATCAATCAGAATAACTATAATCTTTCATCATTGTGATCACCAAAGTTGAATTAGGCAAGAGACGTGAATCTAATACCTTCCCACCTTATCATGTGAAAATAAATAATACTAAAGAACCTTATCATCACTGCCATGGCAAAATGAAGCCTTACCTAAGTTATTCTCATTCT